TGGAGTATAGTAGCTTCATGTATTGTTTTGTTATTTACTTTTGGAGTCAATCTTTTGTGAATCACATACATTGTAAACACTTTAATATTAATGCAATGGTTGTTTGTTACTTTTATTACTATGATGCATGTGTTGTGATACTACATTTGACGTCCTCCGCCCCCGAACGTTTCCGCCGTTCCGGTTTGGGGGTGTGAGAGTGGAGCCAACTTTTCAGAATCCAGGAACCAGTATACCAAGAGTTGTGCTGAGAATTTTTCTCAACCGTCTCCTTTCGAGGTGGTAGCGAGTACTACAATCCCGGTGTCCTTACTTTCTGTCTTGCCGGGGAAATTCGCCAATGTAGCATAGCCGAACTTGGTTGGAGGCTAGGAATTTATGACCAATCCGTGGTTATGTATGAAGCTTTTGGGGTATTTTTAGAGAACTGCCATAGAGATCTACCCGAGGGAGTGGTTGCTTCTACTTTCTGGAACACTATTGCTAACCGGGTTTATATACCATCTTACGCTCAAGAAGGGAGTATCCGTTCTCCCATCCACCGTTTGATCCACCGCCTTGTCGCAAGCACCATCAACACGCGTAAGGATGATGACAAGATTCCGAACCTCGACATCTTCTATTCGTGGAGCATTATCACGCCCAACACATTTTGCAACCTTCCTTATTGCTTGGCTAGATACTTGTGGGAAGGGGCGGTCAAGGAAAGGATCACTTCTAAGATCAATGGTGGGATGTTCGTAACTCGATTGGTGAGGACGTTTGGTATATTGGAGCAAGCGGCCGGTAACTATTTGACGATGGTACCCACACCTCCTTTTATTATCACGTTGTATAGGAGGGAGAGGATCATAGAGGATTATGGTGGTGGCCACATTGCCATCCCTAATGATGATGTGATATTAGCGCCCGAGGAACCGGGTCGGCGGGTCCGACCAAGGCATGAGCCGGTCCGAGAAGATCCACCGGTAATTCCGATGGATGATGAACTATCAATGGACTGGTACAACGTGGAATTGAGGAGGTACCAAGATAATCTTGGTCGGAGCATGAACTATCATCATGGTTCATTTATTCATTTGTTTGACCAATTGCATCTTGCACCAAGACCCGGGCCCGAGTATCCATATGTGCGGAGTTGGGACGAGAGAGTAAGCCAAAGACGGAGCGGAGCCGGAGGAAGCGGTGGTGGTGATGATGAGGAGGGAGATGAAGATTGATTTATCCTTTTAATTTTATTTGATTGAGTGGTTGCTTTTAAGACACTTTTCATTTTGTTTAGTTTGTTTTATTTGTTTTGTGCTGTTTTGAACATTTAGTAATTTTTTGGATTGGTTGTTTTTCCTTTTTATTACGTATGTTTGCATTTTGTATTTTCAGAATTTGGATAAAAGAGTGAAGTGAAAGAGTATAGAGCGTAAGAGAATATAGCATGAAGAGTCGAGTCTAAACGAAAGAATAGAAGTTTTCGAGTCCAAGGTTGAGTCCGGTAATGAAGAGGGTTATAGAGTATTTATTTACAGAAGAAAAATGAGGGAAATTATTAGTTTATATTACCCCCATATATCAGAAACGGATATGGGCAGAATACAATTTTTTTTTCCACGCAACGGTCTACTCGCCGAGTACATCTTATGGACTCGACGAGTCCATGTGAAATTTCGCGACTTTTCTGCCAGTCACGCTACAACTCGGCGAGTTAGCATATCTACTCGACGGGTCACTCGTTAATTCTATTTTCAAGTTCACAATTTGACCACATTTGACAGCTCCAAAAGTTTAACATATAGCGTGAAGAGTCGAGTCTAGACGAAAGAATAGAAGATTTCGAGTCCAAGGTTGAGTCCGGTAATGAAGAGGGTTATAGAGTATTTATTTACAGAAGAAAAATGAGGAAAATTATTAGTTTATATTACCCCCATATATCAGAAACGGATCTGGGCAGAATACAAATTTTTTTCCACGCAGCGGTCTACTCGCCGAGTACATCTTATGGACTCGACGAGTCCATGTGAAATTTCGCGACTTTTCTGCCAGTCACGCTACAACTCGGCGAGTTAGCATATCTACTCGACGGGTCACTCGTTAATTCTATTTTCAAGTTCACAGTTTGACCACATTTGACAGCTCCAAAAGTTTAACATATAGCGTGAAGAGTCGAGTCTAGACGAAAGAATAGAAGTTTTCGAGTCCAAGGTTGAGTCTGGTAATGAAGAGGGTTATAGAGTATTTATTTACAGAAGAAAAATGAGGGAAATTATTAGTTTATATTACCCCCATATATAAGAAACGGACCTGGGCAGAATACAATTTTTTTTCCACACAGCGGTCTACTCGCCGAGTGCATCTTATGGACTCGACGAGTCCATGTGAAATTTCGCGACTTTTCTGCCAGTCACACTACAACTCGGCGAGTTAGCATATCTACTCGACGAGTCACTCGTTAATTCTATTTTTAAGTTCACAATTTGACCACATTTGATACGGGCATTTGTTCTTTTCCTTGGAGATCATTTTCCGAGCATTTCCAAGAGTTTTTCCCTTATAATTGGAGTTGTACCACACGATATTTTGACACCCAAGAGATGGATGAGCTGTTACCATGTCTAAAGTCAATTGAATATGGAGCTTAAAGATAAAATATCAACTCCGCACTACTATCTCAAGGGAGTTTGTTCCAATTCTCTCTTTATTTTATTATTCTTTATCATGCATAAAATGCAATGGGGACATTGCATAAATTAAGTGTGGGGTAGGGGGTTGGTTACATTAGTTGAAATTTTAGTTAAATTTCGAAAATCTTGAAAATTTTAGTTAAATTTTGAAATTTTTGCATAAAAAATTGCTAGGTCTAATTTAGAAAATTTTGGTAAAAGCAATTAGGAATCATGCTAGTATTGTGTTTGATGATTTTATGAAGAACCCAAATGTTTAGTTGAGCCTATATACGTTCTAGTGCATTTGTGGACTCCTTTATTCTAGTGAAATCATGGGACAAAAACACAATCTCACTTAGTTTGAGGGACGCAACATGTTTAGCATCGTGTACTTGAAATGTATCCAGGAAAACTAATATATTTAACCAATAAAGGTTGAAGTTGAGCGCCCCTGCTTACGCATGTAGGTTTTGAGTGAAAAAAAAATGAGATACATGTTAAAAAAGAAAGAGAGAGAATTACAAGAAAAGTTAAAGAATTTTAAAGCAATAAAAGTATGAAGATCAAAAGATCAAAGTTCTGAAGAAATTCAAAAAGTTGAAGATACCAAAAATCAAACAACAAGGTGGTGAATTCAAAGAAATCAAAGATCAAATATCAAAGAAGTGAAGAATTCCAAATAAGCTCTATAGTGGTATCAAAAAGTTGTAATTTTCTACATTATGTATGCTTGGGTTGCTTGACCAAAAATACCTTGAAGTTAGGAAGTTTTTTGCGGATGGATTCGGAGGGATGCATAAAATGAGCGTTGTTCAAAAGAAGTGGGCGGGTGTTTATGAGAATTGTGAGTATTTAGAATTAGGGGGGTCCTTAGGAAAAATTTTAGACACAAATGCATGCATTGCGGTCTTGGCATAATGGCTGGGTTTGATTGAAATTCTTTTATGTGATGCTAGTATGTTAAAATTTAGTTTTGCTTGGGGGCAAGCAAAAGTCAAGTGTGGGGTATTTTGATATGTGCATAATTAGTCATATATTTCGTGTTAAATCTTAATACTTTTTGGCTATTTTATTGCAAATTATGAACAAAAGGTACTTAAATATGTTTAAAATGTATTTGTAGCCTAAAAGATGAGCTCGGAAGCAAAAGGAAGCTGAAAAAGCGATCGGAAGCTCGAGAATTGAAGAAAGAAGAAAGAAAGAAAAAAAACCCTAAAGAACTCGGCGAGTTGGGTGCCTACTCGCCGAGTAGGTTCGAAGATTCGCGAACAAATAACATTCCTTGACGCATACGGATTTTAAGTGGGGGACTCGCCGAGTCGGTCTATAGACTCGACGAGTAGCCCCTGTTTTCAGAAACTATATAAAGGACTTTAATTCACGAATTTGGGACTTCTCCCTAGAACCCTTAAAGGTTAATTTGCGATTCAAGTTGCTGCTGGAGCTCTGGAACTTGAAGATTGAGTCTAAGCATTCGATTTTGGGGAGATCAAGGCAATTCAAGTGTACTCTTTACTTAATCTTTTGTCGAAACTATGTTTGCATCAATTGATTTTGTTTTTGAGTTGTTTTCTGCTTTAATTATGAGCTAAAAACTCATAGCTTCTGTTTATGATAGATGACTTTATGAATATGGTTTGATTTTATGATTGGATTAATTTAATTTGGTAATTTTGTTTTGTTAAGCTTGTTAAAGAACCTTATGTGTTAATTACAACTATTTTCTGTTAATTAACCAGCATATTAAGTTCCATGAACATCTCTTAATTGCTAATCTCATATGATTTGTGTGAAAACATTGTTATATGCCTAGGAATAGCGAACGTGAAACTAGGGTTAATTAGAAAATAGGTAAATTAATGTGTGACGAACCATTAACAAGAGGTTAATTGAATTGGCAATTTGATTAGGTACTACAAGTCTTACTTAACCCGAATCAATAAACTAGAAAATCTATTAGTTTAATCACTTGATCACTGCTTAAATTGATTTGTTTTCTAAGGATTAGTAATAGCGAACGTGAACATAATCACACTAATCGGTAGCCAATGTTAATTAATCCATTGCACTTGTCATAAAATCAACCATAAGAATAAATGATTTAAAATGTCATTAACAAAAATGGCTACATTTGCAAATTTCTCTAAAAACTTTTTTTTTTGGAACCGACAAATGATTAATTAAAAAACAGAGGACCTCGACTAACAAGGAGCTAGAGAAAGTCGAACCAACCAATACAAGAGGGTAAAATTACAGAGGTGAAACAACAATACAGAAACATTACAAACACAAAAGTGGACATGGACACCAATCATTCCAACAGACGTTACAATTTTTACCTCTATGTTTGAACCAGACGTACACCATGGATTGAATCAAGTCGACTACATGTGGAGGAGAGATTTTATTTTTGTTAAAGACTCCCGTTACAAGCCCTCCAAATGCCCCAAATCGAGTCGTAGCACACGCCCAAGAGAATTTTCTTTTTCTTCTTACAGGTACCCTCTTTGAGATTTCATTCAACAACTCATTGCCATTTGTGCATTGAATAGCTGATATTCCACACCATTTAAACACCCAGTTCCAAGTCTCTTTAGCAAATTGACAATCTCATAACACATGGGTAGTTGTCTCCTTTTCTGTGTCGCAAAATCCACACATCGTGGAATCGATATTTACACCTCGTTTAGATAGGCTCACAAGAGTGGGGATACGATCTCTTAAAGCCCTCTGGATAAAACATTCAACCTTCAGGGACCTCCTTTATCCAATCAATCAATTTCATGTGTGAAGTTGAGATGTTTTATGAATATGATGCCTCAGAACCTCCGCTGTGTAACATCTGACGCCAACTCACACATCCATGAATATTGGTTGTATGTTAGTTGGATAGGACCTATAATTCGTATGAGTTGATTCATGAGGTTACTGTTCAAACTGCAGATCCAAGACCACGGAAATCCTGCATCATAAATCCTATCCGCAACCATGCACTTCTTATGGGAATCCATATGGTATAAATAAGGGAACAAGTGTTTAAGTGGACCTAATTGAAAGGTAATTTGGTTATTTATTGTGATATACTAAAAGGTTTCTTCAATCGAGATTGTAACATTTGGACGAAATTCGTAACTCTGAGTATAAAGAAGGGACCGAATTTATAATTTACTTTAGAAAATGTCGAGACTTTTAGAGCCAAGCATGCATTAAATGAGCGGTCAATTCCTAATTTTGATTCCAGGTGTCGGAAAAGGTAGGAAATATTTGACGTGGCACTTTGAGAACGAACAGAACGTACATTCACCGTTGGATCATATTAAGATCGGACGGTCACGGAAAAACCCTAAATGGGAGAGAATTTAGGGTGCGTATGGCTGTCTTAACCTTCGGTATATAAACCCCTATATGCTCTCTCTGTTCTATATTCTCTATTTAGTCTTCCTCTTTTCGCCGTTCTTCAAATTTCTTTGATCGAAGAGGAATTCTCTGTTTCTCAAAGGTTAGATCTCTTGCTTTTGATCTGTAATAGTCGCTGAATTCTGAGTTTGAATGTTTGTAACATTTTACTGATCGTTTGATTGTCGATTTTGGAATTGCTTCAAGATATGTACGATTTTTCTTTCGATTTTGTTTATCGTTATGATAGAAGTAGTGTTGTTGAAATTGAACACTGCTTTGTTCTTAATGACGTGATTATATGAGTTTGTGACGATGTTCGTGATTCGGACCTACATTGTCTGTTTTGGATTTTTCAAGCGGATTATGCTTTATACAAGTTCTCTTTTCTTATTGTTCTTTTTATCTTAGAAGTTTACTGTTATAATACATTTTCTGTAGTTGTTCTTGTTCACTAATTTATGTTAAACGAAACGTTTCTCGTCAAATTTATTAAAATATTTTCATCTGCTACTCGAATCTAGGCAATGTGTTGAGCTTCTAGCTTTTTAAGATCTAATTATTGCGAAATTCTTCATAGTTTTTGTTTCGTGGAAATTAGCAGCCATTATTCATGCAGATCGTGTTTGCTAATGTTTGTTTAATTTGTTAATATCTTCGTAGACGTGTTATTGACTGTGATTTATCTTCATAGACGTGTTATTGACTTTAAGTTGTATTCGTTTGATCAATTGCAGCTGTTAAACCATGGGTAAGGAAAAGGTTCACATCAACATCGTCGTCATCGGCCATGTCGACTCTGGAAAATCAACCACCACCGGTCACCTGATCTACAAGCTTGGTGGAATCGACAAGCGTGTTATCGAGAGGTTCGAGAAGGAAGCTGCTGAGATGAACAAACGTTCATTCAAATACGCCTGGGTGCTCGACAAACTGAAAGCCGAGCGTGAACGTGGTATCACCATCGATATTGCTCTCTGGAAATTCGAAACAAACAAGTACTACTGCACAGTCATCGACGCTCCTGGTCACCGTGATTTCATCAAGAACATGATCACCGGAACTTCTCAAGCCGACTGTGCTGTTCTCATCATCGACTCCACCACCGGTGGCTTCGAAGCTGGTATTTCCAAAGATGGTCAAACCCGTGAACACGCTCTCCTCGCTTTCACTCTCGGTGTCAAACAGATGATCTGTTGCTGCAACAAAATGGACGCCACTACTCCCAAATACTCAAAAGCCAGATACGATGAAATCACGAAGGAAGTCTCAACCTACCTCAAGAAAGTCGGTTACAACCCTGACAAAATCCCATTCGTCCCAATCTCTGGATTCGAAGGTGACAACATGATTGAAAGGTCAACAAATCTCGATTGGTACAAGGGCCCAACTCTCCTCGAAGCTCTTGACCAAATCAACGAGCCAAAACGTCCCACAGACAAACCACTTCGTCTCCCACTTCAAGATGTTTACAAAATCGGTGGAATTGGAACTGTTCCAGTCGGGCGGGTCGAAACCGGTATTATCAAACCCGGAATGGTCGTCACCTTTGGCCCAACCGGTTTAACAACTGAAGTGAAGTCCGTTGAAATGCATCATGAAGCTTTGTTGGAAGCTCTACCAGGTGACAATGTTGGATTCAATGTGAAGAATGTTGCTGTGAAGGATATCAAGCGTGGGTATGTTGCTTCGAATTCTAAAGATGATCCTGCTAAAGGTGCTGCGAGTTTTACTTCTCAGGTGATTATCATGAACCACCCGGGTCAGATTGGAAACGGGTATGCTCCGGTGTTGGATTGCCACACGTCTCATATTGCTGTGAAGTTTGCTGAGATTTTGACAAAGATTGATAGAAGGTCTGGGAAGGAGATTGAGAAGGAACCGAAGTTTTTGAAGAATGGTGATGCTGGAATGGTGAAGATGATGCCGACTAAGCCTATGGTGGTGGAGACTTTTTCTGAGTATCCCCCGTTGGGGAGGTTTGCTGTGAGGGATATGAGGCAGACTGTGGCTGTTGGTGTTATCAAGAGTGTGGATAAGAAGGATCCTACTGGTGCTAAGATTACCAAGGCTGCTGCGAAGAAGAAATGAATTTTGGTGGGGAAGGGGAAGGTTTCTTTTTCGTTCTTTAATTTTCGTTTGGTGTCGTGTGTCGGTTTGTGTGTTTGGTTAGCGGTGGTGATGGTGGTGTTATTGCGGTTTCGTGTTCGTACTTGGGTGCTTGATAGGCGGTGGCGTCTTTATTTTGTTTGTTTTTGTTGAAGACAATTTTGATTTTGGATTGGAATATGAATGATTGGTTGAGTTGAGTCATATTGGGCTTTTTGGTGGTTTATGCTTTTAATATTATCTTTTGCAGTTATAAAACACATTTAAAACGGATAACTAAAACTTCAAACTGAATATTTTGTTTTTTAGTTGCTTCTTCACCAATTGATTTTGCATAGAGTTGCAGAGCACTTTTAGCTTTTCGTCCATTTTTTTAATAATGTCTTTTATAAAAAATTATATTCTTACCTTTGGTTCTTTTTGGGTTGGGTATAAAGGTGTAAAATCTCTTTGTTCTTTTTGGGTTGGATGCCCGATCTAATATGGTTGTTGGAATATGTTAGAACCTTAAATATTAAAAGGTGCAGAAAATGAACATAAACAAAACAATAATTTATAAGGTTTTAAAAAAAAATAATCAAATCATAATATCAAAGTGTTTTATACAAAAATGTCATGTTTGCAAATCTTGGAATAATCTTGAAAATGGTTTTAATAAAACTAATTTTTAGGCCTTTTTTTTATAATAGAGAAGAATTGGATTTTTGTTCGTTATTTTTTACAATAAAATCTTGTTGTAGATAAGTTGTACTATTATTTTTAGATGTAATCAAACACCATCGTTAATGAATTTAGTCCTACTAAAAAGACAAAACCAGTGGATTATATCACTATCTTTAAGGAATTTTAGTCCCAACTATAAAGGCAAGAGTGGACTATATAATTATATATATTATATTAGTTTCCTTGTGTGATTTAACATCAAATAACATTTTTGAAACTATCAAATATCAATGCTCATCTTCAATGATTTTGGTACTGAAATTTTAGAGGATACAAAAAATATTAACATTTATTTGAATAAATGTTAAGACACTGTCGAATAGGCCGCCAAAAAAAGGGTAGGTGATATGGCGCCAAAAGTTCCCGCCATCTTTTACCGTACAGCTCTTCTTCCAGTAGGGATGCAATGGATAACTACACGTTTTACAACAAGTAGGATGGGGTGGGGGAAGTGGGTGTACCTTTTTCCTGATGTGTGTGTCAAGAGAGAGAAATCTATTTTCTATTTTATAATTATTAAAATATTAAAATTAAAATTATTTAATAAGAAAAACAAATGAAAAGGATATAACAGTATTTTTAATTTAAAAAAGATCAAATGGATAATGAAAATGATTGATAAAGATGAAATTTATAATTTTGAAACTTGAGTGACCAAAACCAATGAAAATAACAAACCATAGGGATTAATTTTGCATATTTTTCTTGTTTTTATTTAAAATTGTTGAGAAACTTCAACAGAGCAACATTGTCGTTTTATTGGAACAGGGACCAAAGTTGTGAGACACGAACCAAAACTGTTTTTATAATATGGTTTTCAAAGTTTAGTTGTTTTTATTAGAAATAAGGACCAAAAGTGTGTAATTCGATTGTGTGAGAGTGAGTGTGTATGAAATAGTCTTGTACTATGTTTATTATATCATTTTTACTTTCATTTTTTATTGCATTGTATTTAAATTTTTAAAAAGTGTAATGTTGTAACAAAATAAATAAAAGGAAAAATAAACGTGGCGGCCCTAATATGTATTTTGAATATATCTTTTTAGTCTCTAAAGTTTTTTTCATGTATTTTAAGGGAACAAACTGTTTTTTGTCGGTCAGATCGATTTGTATTACTCGTTTGCCGCATAGACTTTGACTTTGAAAACCCCATCTCTTTTGACCCAACCCATTGTTTCCCTCCAAACCCATGACCCGATTCATCCCTTCCACCACCTGTGTCTTCTTCTTCTTCCTTCTACCTCCTTATACCATGTGGGCAATAATCATTAGGGCAAGTTCACCTCTTCGATCATTATCAACTACATATTTCACTCAGATTCTACTCATTTTTCAAAAAGATGGACTCATCGGACGACGAATAAGAGGAGTATCTGTTCAAAGTAGTAATAATCGGAGATTTGAGCTATCGGCAAATCAAACCTACTCTCTAGATACTCCAAGAACGAGTTCAACATGCACTCTAAATCCACAATCGGAGTTGAATTTCAGACGCAGACCATGGAGATCGACGGCAAGGAGGTCAAAAGCTTAGATTTGGGACACTGTCGGTAAAAAACGCTTCAGCCGCCGTCACCTTCGCTTAGTACTGCGGTGCTGTCGGTGCGCTCATCGTTTATGATATCTCCCGTAGCACCACTTTCGATAGCGTCACCAGATGGATTAAAGAACTCAAAAGTGAGTTCGAATTTCATATTACTAAAATTTGTTAAATCTTTGATTATATGTTTCAGAAGAATTTCATGTTGTTAGATCTGACTGAAACTGCAACTCATTCGGATACAACATCGGTGAGGATGTTGGTTAGGAATAAATGTGATTTGGGGAATATTCAAGCTGAAAGTGTTGAAGATGGGAAGAAACTTGCAGAAAACGAAGGATTAATCTTCATGGAAACATCTGCACTTGATTCAACTAACGTGAAAACAACTTTCGAGTTGGTGATTAAAGAGATCTACAACAATGTTAGCAGGAAAGTAGTAAACTTTGAATCGTATAAATCGTTTTTGTTCCTTCGTTGTTTATGAAATGCGATTTTGACTTTTAAATGAATTTTGAGAAATGAACGAATATTGACTTTTAAATGGAAAAATGCTTAAGTCAAATGAAACTGACTAATATAGGTTAAAGGGATTAAAAAGAAAGGTCTCTTCCGAGTTTATTCCTTTATAAAGCACCAAAAAAAGTTTTGGGACTGAATGATGAAAGTCGAAATACTTTGTTGGGCCGTTGCCTCATTTTCCCAAAATAAAAATATAAAAGTAGAATGCTATTATATAAATAACAATGTACTACCTGTTTTATAATACGGTTTTCAAATTTTTCGCCGCTAAAAACCCTGGTTAACAACAAATATGACATTCAATTGCCGTTAAAACTTGTGTGAAAATAACTGATTTTTCAACGAACAGTTAAATGTTAAAAACTACTAACTAAATTAACCAACAAAATCTCCCTTCATAACAATTTGATGACATGATCAAACATTATACCTAAGGAAATTTAGCCCCCACTACAAAGCTGGTGGATTATATAGACTAGTTTCTTTTCAGGATTCAACATTAAATATAGATTCAAGCAGCGTTTGATAAACTCAAAATGAACATCTTAATTAGTTTTGGTTCCAGAAACTTATAAACGATGTAAGAAAAAGATAGATGTAAATTTCATCACTATTAATATTGGTAACAACAAATATGACATTTAACTGCAGTTAAAACTTATTTGAAAATAAGTGATTTTCCAATCAACAACTAACTGTCAAAAACTGTTAACGAAATTAAACAACAAAATTTTTTCCCAACGATATTTAAACCATTTGCACTGTTTATGCATCTTTTGACTTATAAATCCATTTTTTTCACCAATACAGGACTAGCAAAAACGTATAATATTTAATAAAGACCAACGCCCTTTGGTAGGCGTTTTGAAAGCATGCCAATAATAGCCATGTAAGTTATTTTTAATTTCGTATTCAATTATTTCATAAACCATCAAGCAAATTCAACCAAATCGCTATTGTTCTAATAGTAATATATTATATGTTTTCTATCTAATAACTTAGTAAGTTATCAATAATATATTGGTCAAGTCTTCAAAACATTGCTATATTGATATATGTTTTATATTAATGAATGATCTGAATCATAAAAGACCATTGTGAAATTAAATCCGTTCAATGATGTTTGATTATATACAAACGTATCTTTGGTAAACAAAAGCGATGATTAACCTAAATAATGACGAATAAAACATATGGTTCATATATGATATGTTTGTAGCTGGTTGACTTACAAATTTAATATTTATAACTAATGAGCAACCTCATCATAGATACGTAATATAACACGATTATTAAAGAATTCGTTTATCTGTTCTTTAATAGCGGGTCATATATATTTTCCAATAGTGACCAATACCTTCAAAGTTACTTTTTATGTAATAAAAAGAATATAAGCACGACATTACAATATATAAATAAACAAAATGAATACATTGTTAATTTGTAATTAGCCCTTCAATTAAATAAAAATACGTGATATTAAAATTTGGGTATTACCTAAATTTCACACCAACTTTAGGTGATGATTTGTAAACCTCAACAACCATTTGGTAGCAAATCTTTCTTCTACTCCAAGGGATGACTTTGTGAAGCAATGCTCTCATATTCCACTTAACATAAAAATGAGTAACATTATATATCTTCTTCTAGTACTTCGGTTAAAGATCATGTAACTATATGTTAGAAACTTCGAACGTTATTATTATATCATATTTATTTAAAATGACTTTTAAGAGAAAGTACGATTTAAAATTGATTATCCACTAATTATTTTATATGTGTAGCTTTTAACATTTTATTTTTTTTGTTAAACAAATGTATACATAAGTTCTATAATCATATCAGTTATATGAAGACAAATGGCCAATACATCGAGACTAAATTTTATTACGAATAATGTTAATAGACAACTCAAAAAGTTTAACATAATAATAAGAAATCTAAACGAATATTGTAAAATTTAAAACATCTCTTTCTCTCTCTCTCTCTCTCTCTCTCTCTCTCTCTCTCTCTCTCTCTCTCTCTATGCAGTGCGCAGATACATACATACATACATACAAATTTACACACAATTTTTTAGTCGAATGAAAGGACATTCAAACAACCAGAATGGAGTTCACCTGTAGCAATCATAAATCAACTGCTCCATCTAATTCTTTGAAAGAAAGCTACTATTTCATCCCTGTGAACTCCAGAAACATATAAATCCACCCTACATATTTCCATTTTTATCATCATCCAACCTTTACCCCTTTCTATCCCACTAAAACTCTCAATTCTTCCTTTTTTTTTCTTCCTATATTTACATGGGATCATCCGAAAGACCAAAGAAGAAAGTCCACTTATGGAAGAAAGCCACAGTCCATTTCTTGTTATGTTTCATCGTGGGATTCTTCACTGGCTTTGCCCCTACAAACAAGTCTTCTTTCTCTCCTACTAATAATGTTATTCCATCCAACGGTTCACAGGAGATTTCTCCACCACCAGAAAAAATCCTTGACCGAGTTCCCGAACAAGAAAGTGGGAATTTTGATAGGAGCATGTTGGATGAATCTTTATCAATGAAAGTGCACGAAAGGCCTAATATTGGTTCAATTGATGAGGAGGGTAAAAAGGTAATTTTGACTAAAGAGAAGGGCGAAATGGTAACTTTGACTCCCCGAAGGCTTGTGATTATTGTTACTCCAATGAGCGATAAAGATGAGCTTCGAGGAGTGTTTTTGAGGAAAATGGCAAACACGTTGGCGTTGGTCCCACCACCAGTGTTGTGGGTAGTTGTTGAATCACAGTCTGAATCCGATGAAGTATCGGATATTTTGAGAAAAACCAATGTGATGTATAGACATTTGGTGTTTAAGGAGAATTTTACGGATGTGGAAGTGGAAATGGATCATCAAAGAAACGTCGCGCTTAAACACATTGAATATCATAGGTTAAGTGGAATTGTTCATTTTGCTTCACTCTACAATGTTTATGATCTAAGCTTCTTCGAGGAGATTCGGGGCATTGAGTAAGTTAATTATTTCCCCTCTCTTGATATCATGGTCTTATACATGTTATTCAAAAGAGTATTGTCCTGATCGAGGTCTTGTTACATTGATCCCATTTTATTCATATTTTTTCTATCAGGGCATTCTTTTTGTTTCTTTAATAAATTAATTGTGGTTGTTTGTGATTTGGCATATGTTGAATTAATTGATGATTGAATGTTGGATGTAGGGTTTTTGGGACATGGCCAATGGCGTTTTTGTCAGCAAATAGGCAAAGGGTGAGAATTGAGGGACCAGTTTGTGATTCTTCAGAAGTTATAGGGTGGCATTTGAAAAGTTTGAACAATTCAGCAGATGATGCGACCAGATCACCTGTTCACATCTCAACCGTTGGATTTAACAGTTCGATTCTGTGGGACCCGGAAAGATGGGGCCGGCTTTCATCTGCCCAACACACATCTCAGGTACTCGACTACTGGTACTCTATCAGGTCCCACTAATTTACATTTTACCCCCTACTAAGAAAGAGAAAGTACACAAACAGCTCCTGCCAAAGTTACATTTTGTATCAACATGTACCTTATGCTGTTACAATTGCACATAATATATGTGACAATGGTCCCAATATCTTTTAGCAAAGAGGGTGGGAGTACTGTGGAGTGACCATTGTAACAATTTGTATGTTCATATTTATCTCGCCAACAAATATTAGTAACCTTTTAATAAAGATAATAAAAGTTTGCTATACAAAGTAGGTTACATGATTATTTTATGGATTCCTCTTCATTAACTCTTACTAGTTTGTACTTTGTTTTTCAATTTGCAGAATTCTATAAAGTTTGTTAAAGAAGAGGTCCTTGAAGAGGAAACAAAGTTAAAGGGGGTCCCACATGATGGGTGCTCCAAAGTCATGCTATGGAATCTTCATATTCCAAAGAGTAATTAGCGCAGTAACCAAATGTTTTATATCATTCATCAATTTTGTTTTAGTTCAAGTACAATTTTTAGTCGATTTGGCATATATATATATATATATATATATATATATATATATATATATATATATATTAATCGGTGAGTATATCACAAGTGGTAAATAATTTGATATTTGAATCAAATTTAAAACATGAATATGCATACGTATTAGTGATATTTACAAAAATGATCATCAATTTATTGAGTATTAAACAAAACATAATACTTTATCCAAATAATCATGATTCCAAAAAACCACTACTTGAAATCTAACATTTCAGACCTATTTTAAACAAAAAAAACACATTCTAGATATAAATTAACTTAAATTCTATAATCAAAGAATTATGTATGGCCTTTAAATTCTAAGATAAAGAACATATATAAAAGAACTTAAAATAAACATAAAATATATGTTTGATTAAGTTTGACTTTATTAGAATGCAAAGAAAAATCAAGCAATAAATTAACAACCCTACTAAAAATATGTGATCAAGCAATAAACTATCATTTCAGTTTACAAGGTTTTTACAAATTTGTCTAAATCTTTTTGTTATAATAACTTTAAAACTTATATTGTTTAATAAATATAACCAAACTCTAAGGATAAAATATGAGAATGTTTTGAAACAACTATCGCATTAAAATATAACAAACTGATTAATAAACTCACAATATATAAACACAAAATTAAACAAGTTAAATAAACTTGAAATATACAAAATCGAACTTGAAGGATCAAATATAACAAGGAAACTTAAACCCTATTTATAGAGTTATGACTAATGTTACTCTAAATTTGAAGTAAAACTATTTATAAATATATTTTATATTTAAAAATATAGTTGGATCGGAGAGTTTTATTCTATTTTAAACTCCATAAATAGAGCCTACGGGGTCGAAGAGACATATTGGATCCATGTTGAGGTGGTTGAGGGATTCTTTTAATCACGTATGTTGGTTTCTTCATCGTCTCAACCCAAAATGACATGGTATATTTTTGTCGTGAATCATGCTTTTAGATATTTCAGCTAAGTGGTGATTCTTCCTCTCTGAAACCTAGTTCTGCTATGGAGTAGTCGGACAAGATAGTTAACGACCAATTTTGTTCTTCAAAATATTCAACAAAGTTAAAAGTCCAGTATTCTCTACCGTTATCTGATCGAAGCTTCTAAATGCTATGTTTAGTTTATCCCTCAACATCAACTTTAAACTCCTTTAAACATTACTAGAACCACAAATTTCTCCTTTACAAAATACACCCACACGGAGCGAGAGAAATCATTTATGAAAGTCACCATATGTACAAGTTCTAGAGGATACTTAGCTTGATAACTTGACTTTCCGAACAGTTTGTTGATGAGATTTGTCAGTTGAGAGTCGACACACATTAAGGTGTTGTTTGTTTTTCTGAGACAAAATGTCTGCAGTCTACAGACCACATCTACCATCTGCAGTAGAAGAGATGGACCAAACGTCTGCAGTCTGAAATAAGAATATTATTTTATAACGTCTGCAGGCTATTAACATAAATTAAAAATCTAAATAAACTGTTTTTTAAAAAACTTAAAAGAGTTTTTCAATACTTTTTTGACTTTATTATAGATAATTAACAAATCTAGATAAAATTTTATGTATTATTGTATAAAAAGTAAAAAAAACGGTACGAATTAACGTATATATTTGATAAAAAGCAACAAACTTTAGTCGCAAAGTTATACCTAAATATTGTAATTATTGATCAAAAAATTGAACACATGAAATGGATGGAATAAACTTTGATTTTAAAATGGAAATTTTCATTTTACTTTTTCATTTAAACCAATTAAAAACTAACCATAAATATTTTTCTCAAGAAATGAATGATACTACATTGAATAATGTTTTATAAAATTTGACACAAAAAGTATAAGACAATATTATCAGTTTTCATATCTATATAAACAACTACAACGACCATTATTGTAATTAAATCTTTATTTATAAATTTCTCACAAACGTAATGTTTGTGTCATCGAACGTTTTTTTTCTTGAAGTATTGTTTGTGTCGTCGAACCTTTTTTTTCTTGAAGTATTGTAACTTTTTTTTTTCAAATTGTTTATCACGGATAAAGTTGGAATAAATCAAAGTTAAAAAAAAACAAAGGTATGTGTGTTTTTTTAGGCTAGAAGATGTCTGAAGAAGTTAAAATTAAAATACACCGGTCCACATCTGCGCTAAGAAGAGGACACACATACCTTTTTAGGTCTGCAGTCTTCAAAAAAACAAACAGTTTGCGAATAATAATGTATGTGTGTAGCCTGTGTGGCGCATAAAGAAGAGGACAAGAAGATCTACAGACAAAAAACAAACAACACCTAAGTCTCACTTTACTTCCAGTTGTGGTAGGCCGGTAACCAGTTTCTTTTTCATCACCATTTCAAGTTTTTCACAACTTACATGGCTTATATGTTCCACAAATAAATATTTTGATTTTTCTTTATCTTGTGCGCATATGCTTCTTTTATTGACATGGCATAAATAGACTCAGGTCGTCAACCTTGCAATATCGGTGTTGATGATGTTTTAAACTCCTTAAAAATCTTCATATCATTTGGTCCAAACAATACGTAATAACAGATGCTAATTGAGAAACCGATATCATGTTCTTTTTCATTACAGGTACGTGATAAACACCTTGGAAAAAATATGTAAAAAACTCAAATATGGGCTAAAATTGAAAAAAGAGTGTATGGAAGAAAAAGGAGTTGAACTTAACATTTGGTTAGAAAGTGCAAAAACTTAAAAGTTTGGGACTGACTTTGGAATATAAACAAAAATGAAAGAGAGGGAGTTGGAGGGTTTTGAACCCCCAACCTTCATCATTGGAACCAAAAGTCTTACCAATAATGTAACGTCTTAATTTTCAAATCAAAATTTTCATTTAAAATCAGATTAAACATTCAAAAGTCGTCCCTTAAAAACATATCATAACATTCATATGTTTAAAATTCATAAAGTTAAACTATAGTTAAATTATAAACCCAGTGGAAGTTTAAATAACAATATGGAACCGATGAGATGTATAGTCATGTCGCGACCTTCCCCCTTACACCTGATCAACCTGAAAAACATTTAACATAACAATTTAAGCATAAAGCTTAGTGACTTCCCCAATATACCATATACTTCACCATACATACAATACATACAAACAAAGGCTCACGACTTTAGTGTTGTTCCACCTAATCAACGGTGACTGACGGATCCTATGTAGTCTAGTCATAAATGTTGACTAACGACACTTATGCCGTATAGTCGTCAACAACGATAGGCCCTCAACCATCATCCAACTACAACATGATCTCAGCCATCATACAACCAAGCCATCATATAGCTACAGGCTCTCACCATCATACAACCATACATAAGCTACTACTAATATTGAAGGTCGCCTTATGAATACATAATTATGCGTAGTTAGGAAATAAGATAGACAGTCAGATAGTTGATCCTACCGTAAAGCGACAAATCGAACAAGAACCATGCAATAAGGCCATATTATAGTTCTAAGGCTATTTGATTTAAACTATGTACAACCCCTACAACAGTCACTTAAGGATCTACCAATATTAGCAATACCACATCCAAACAAGATACTTAAAAGTACCATGCAATCAACCAATCACATACAAAAAAAGATTATTTTAGTCTACCAACATAATATTACCCTAACAATACATATATCCTATCATACAAATGATATACAATGTCACACGTAATATAATGAAAAAACTCATCTAAGACTAACAGCAGAAGCTCAACAACAATCTTCAAAATGGCTAGCACAAACCACCTAATACCAAATTGAGACAATTCCTTAGAGAAGTCTCCGGAGAGATCAAGAATACTCTACGAGACCCCAGAAGGCGCTAGAAAATTATAGGTGTCCGCGGAACATGATGGAGCGATCCAGAATAATCAAGAGAGCGCTAGATGAAGCTAGAACGATACGGAAGATCCTAGACCATCGTAGAATCCTCTAGGACACAAAAGAGTAGTATATAACCTTTTTGAATTTTGTATGTATAATAAGATCTTGTAAGAATGATCTAGAATACTCGGGAATGTCCGGAACCTAGAAACTTCCATTGAAGAGGTGTAAGGTTCCTATAAATAGGGAGAAGGGCTCATTTGCCCAAACCATCGAGAAGTTGCCTTGTAAATAAGTTGAGTTATATAATAGAAGCTTTCCTTCGTACTTGAAGTGTTCTTTGTTGTGACTCTTGCTTCCTAAGTTTGTTAATACATATATATCGTCTATGTTAGTCTGACTTAGTCGGAGAAGCACTAAGTGGCACACGATATTGACTAGTCTAAAAGAGTCATCTCGTGACAAGTGGTATCAGATCCAGATTCGTACAAGCAAGAGATCATAGTCATGGAAGGAGGAAGTAGTGAAATAACCAACATTCTCCCTGTCGCCGAAGAGAAAGGAAGGAAGTCCAGGAGGAGGGACCAATCCGTTGACCCTTTGGCAAGCTTAGAAAATAAGCTTACAAAGGTGGAGATTAGCGTCAGTGAGATCCTTGAGTGGAAGGATACCGTCGATCAGTTCGTTGCAGATATTAGTGACATGAGTGATGGATTGAAGGAGACCATCATTGTCATCAAGGAAGAAGTCCTTGGACTTATCAACACCTTGCGAAATGAGTTTCGTGAGAAGGTTGCTATGCTGGAAGCCGAAGTAAACTTGTGCAAGGCAGCAATCGCCGGAGGAGCCGTTGCGAGTAAGTTGCCGCACATGGAAGCACCCAAACCATTGAATTATGGAGGAAAACGCGACCCTAAAGAACTTGACGAATTCTTTTGGTCGATGGAATGTTACTTCAATGCTAGTCAAGTAATGGAAGACAAGACGAAGGTCGATACGGCAGTCCTTTACCTATGTGAAAGTGCAGCTCTATGGTGGAGAAGGAAGCACAAAGACATTGAAAAAGGCTTATACACCATAGACACCTGGGAAGAGTTTAAGAG